TCGACCATTTGCCATAGAGTATACAAGGTAATGATCCACGAGAAGACCATGATAAACACACCAGGACCCCTGAAAACATAACGAAAACGAGAGATAAGTCTATCAAATTCAATTTCGATATTCCTTTCATGGTGAAGTATCGTAACATACCATCCGAGCTCGGCCATGGCATAAGGAAGACTGAGCACACCAGCTCCAACCATAGCAGTGACATTGTGGAAAGCTGAAAACCACCATTTTCTACTTCTTGATGAGTTAATAGGTAGCCAATCATCAATTGCTTTCTGCTTCTCTGATTTTTCTTGCACCTGTGATTCACAAATGGTACACAATTCTCCTTTAAGCTTGACAGCAACAAATTCATACATACATGCATGCATGCATACATACTTACATACATACATAGAGTTGTCCTACTCCAAGAGTAGGAAGAGGAAAAAAAACTTGTCTGGTCTGAAAGAATTATATTACAAAACCGACCATGTGCTTACATGTGAACAGTTCTATAGAACATATATAGGTATATAATTTTAAACAGTTAGGCTTGACTTTAGAGAACAATATTTCTAACAAGTTGGTTGATAACAATGGGTTCGACAAAGCTTTTGATTGAAACAATAATAAAAAAAAACGTAATTGACTTATAGACTTATTGACTAACAGCAGCAGCCAATGAAAAAGGATCACTCTAAAAAAATATCTGCAGTTTCCATATAAAACAATAGTTTCAGTTCAGTCCACAATATGGTGTATTTTTCAATAGTCATCGTTGAAAATAAGGTTTGGTGTTTCGTCAGTTGAACGTACGGAACATTAGCCATATACATCAAGCCACATATGTTGACTAAAAATACAAGAAGAAAAGTCCATTGAACCAGGAGCACATGATTTTACTTCCATTTTTCGAGTTATTATTGTAAGTAAATGCTAATATATTTTCTGTCTACGACTTTCATGGCCCGGATTATATCCGGAATTGAACCGGGTTGAACTTTAAACCGGGCTAGAACTCTCCCATCGCTGTTTTTTCCATCCAAAAACTATGCTTTGATCAAAGTTAAAGATTTTTTAAGCTATATACAGAAAACTAAATCATACAGATACTAGATAATAAAACTGAACCTGCTGTTAAAAACGAAACGTCTGGAAAATTCATTTCCGTTTAAAAAAAAAAACTAAATGGTCTTCAAGAACAAATTTTGGATCGAAACTAAAGAACAGACAAATATATCGTACAGGAACAAGACAAAGATGCACTTTTGCATGCACAAATGTAATGTAATAAAAAGAACTTACGGTGTTGTTGGGGGCATAATCACCATTGGAAGGAGGAGGAGGTTGATGAGTTCCCATGATGTCTGAAACTGATCAAAATGAGCAGAGAGGAACGAAAGGTTGTAATCAAAAGTTAGAAAACGGAAGTTGAGGAGTAGGAAGACAGATCAAAACTGTGTTGGGTTGGTGCTTATAAAGGCTGAAGGGATCCTACAATAAAGGAAATGAGAAAAAGAAAAGGGCCTCACCCGTTGTCGATGCTGACGGGTTTCATGTTTTTTTGTTTGACTTTATGTTTTTAAACCATTTCTGATGAACAAAAAAAAGGGGGGGCTAAAGTCGACGAACCAAACAGTACTTAATAATTATATTTCATTAATAATTTTATTATATCGTGAAATCAATACTTTTACACAGATAGTCCAGATAAAAATTATATTAATTATCATTTTTAGGATTAACATAAATTATTTAATATCTGTTGAGCATAATATAAAATAAGTCTTTTTTAAAGTAATATAAAGATATTATAAAATTATTAGTTAAAAGAGTTTTATTTTTAGAGTAATTACTTTGATAGTCCCTGAACTTTTAACTCACTCTTAATTTGTTCACTAAACTTTTAAAACTTACATTACAATCTCTAAATTTTTTATTCATTCTCATTAAGGTAACTTATGTTAAGAAAAGCTGATTTGATATGTTAAAATCTTCTTTTTTTAAAAAAAATCAATTTTTCAAATTGACTGTTAGCAAAGACTATTTTTTTTATGAATGGAGCGGTTGCCAGTCACTCCTAACGATAGGAATGGTATGTTTGATCAGACAATTATCATAGTTTAGTTTCAAGTTGATCTGACGGTTAATAATAGTGGATCAAAAGGTTTTAGCTTTTAGTTTCTATTGAATTGTCACCTCATTTTGTCATCGTTTTTGTCTTCGTTCAATGGTTTCTTCAATCGAAAAGATCATCAAACTACTCATTATTTTCTTCTATTTCTTTCACTCGATTCATTCTCTTCTGAAAATCTCTCAATCTACTCAAATCTAATTGAAACTAACAACTAAACTTTTTGATCCACCATTTTTAACTATTAGATTAACTTGAAACTAAACTATGTTAACCTTCTTATCAAACGAACCATTCTCATCCTTAAAATTGATTGACAATTACTCATTTCATCGGAAACTTAACATTTTCGACGACTGTTAATTTGAAACCTTATGATATTATTTGAGAAGAAGACTTGAACGTGACACATTAGGTTTTTGTAATGACGGTAACTGCAATGAAAGCAAATTTAAAATTTAACGATTGTAATGTAAGTTTTAAAAGTTCAGTGATCAAAGTGAAAGTACTCTAAAAGTTTAAGACTACCAATATAGTTTACTCTTTGTAATTAGAAATATGTCGTCTAATTTTTTATTTTAAATTAAAGAGTTTTATTTCTTTATTTGATTACCTTTTTAGTGTAGGGAAATGTTGTTGTGGATTAAACCAGACTCTACATATTTAGTTTATGGTTGAGACATTCACGCTGTTTATTTCTTCATCATTCGTGTTTTATTATATTACAGTATATGAAAAAGGCGTGATATTTTTTTTAAGTAGGATTGTTGTTAGCCACAAATTAATTAAATATAATATAAGAAAACACAAATTATATTTTTATTCCTTAAATTAAAATTAGGTTTTCTTAAAGTTTTTTAGATTTTGAAATCCACGTCATAATAAATTATATAAAAATAATAATGGGCGACATGAAATACAAAACAATACAATATGTCATAAATTTATATGAATTTTTAATATTCTAAAGATTATAATAACATGCAAAACAGAGTGAAATTGTTAAATTTATTCAAGATGACGAAGAATAATAATTTAAGACTAAAAATAGAAAATAACATAAATATAGTAAGAACATATGAACATGTCGAAAATATAGGTTTGCAAAGATAGAAAAATAGTTAATTATAGAAATAATTGTATTAAAGCTTCGTATGAATAGCTAAACAGATAAAGAAAATGCTAAAAATAGCTAATTAGAATGTGTAAAAATCAAATTAGTTCTAATTGATATCTGTAACGTTTCAATGGATTCACGAGATGGCAACACACATTTGGGACATATTAAATTAATTATTATTTTTGGGATATTTTTTCAAGCTGTTGGAATTGTTATTTATGTAGTTATTAATTAAATACATTTAATGTTAAATTAATTTCATTTGTGGAAATAAAGAAATTCCATTCCCATCATAGTTACCGTTAAAGGTAATTATAATTTCTTATCCCGAATTGCATTTTAAAAGATTACACCGACTTATTTAAGGAAAATCTTAAACCCAAAAATATTTTAATAGCGAAATATAAATTGAAACGAAAACTCAACATCAAGTACGACTTTAAAAGAAATAAAGTTTAGGTATTAAAATAGAATAAAAATAATAATTTAGATATTAAATGTGTAGTTTACCCTATTATACAAAAGTTATAACCCTGTGACGTATATATATTTTTAATTTAATTGAAATTCCACCCTCGTATTCTTAACTCGATCTATGGGGACCCTTTTTTCCGCTTTTCCTTGGATTTTTAGACATTGGATTCATTTTTAAAGAGATGTTAACACGTGTCAAATGATTAAATTCCATTAAACAATCTTTTAAATGAGATCCTAATTAATTAACATCTGATTAATATTATCCTAACATCGTTGAATTAATTGACTCATGATTCGAGGCCGAAACTACACCCCTCTTTCCCTAATTAATAAACAATGGAAAGTAAGAAATTATTACCCCGAAATGATAATATAGGAATGAATATTCTATTCAACGGTTGAACTTATATTTCCAATCGGCACGTCTGATTTAATTAAGAATGTCATATGATTCATGGACCTTTTGTTGTGGGGTTGTAATAAATAACTCTACTCCAACTTGAACCTTTACCAGTGGTTGCATTATAAATACACCTGTCCACGTTGTATTCTATTCAAATATATTAATAAAAATAAAAAAAATCTAGTTAATTTTTTTTTATAAAAAATTAATATGAACATAGAATTTAGTTTGAAAATTCAAATAATAGAGAATCAATCTGCTGTTAGAGAGACGCGGAGCCTTAGATTTCATTTTCCATGTGAACGCTGAAAAATCAACTAATAGTTGGTAGAAACATAACGCACAATTATGACGCTATTATAGGTAAGAGAACAGTAATTATATAAAGAAACCTCAAAAAATTAATATAGAACAAATCGACATAACTAGGAATTTTCTATCTTATTTTATTCATCTATCGGTCCGACATCGGACAACATGCATCTCTCCTCTAGCTCTATCTAAATTGCTTGCCAAAGCTGAAGAGGCTAAAGCTTCGCCCACTTAGCATGAAGCCATGTGTCGAATCAAGTCGACCACTCGAGAACTGCGGCACCGAAAGAATGTCACCATTAGACAAAAAATCCACCAACGAGAAACTCTGTTTACTACAACGTAAGTGAAGGATATATATGATTTACCTGTAACCCCACTCATTGTCATACCAGGCAACAAGCTTAGCAAAGTTGTCATTCAAAGCAATTCCTGCCTTGGCATCAAAGATGCTTGATCTCTTTAAATAAATCACAACACTGCATCACAAAGGCTACAATTTCCCTGTCTAAAGAGTCGACCTATACAAAACTTAGCCACAACCATCAACATTAAAGAACATATTATTGGAAGAATGCGGCACTGCACCTGTTCTCTCCAACAAAGTCGGTTGAGACCAAATCTTCATCTACGTAACCAAGAATTCCCTTCATTGTGGTCTCGGATGCCTTCCTACACAAAAAGATCCACATCATCGTTACATAAATAAGGCATGTGTTGAAAAGTCAAGCACAACATGGGCGGCTGGCAAGGGTTAAACAGAACAAATTGTTGAAAAATGCATTGGAATGGTAGGCACCGAATTTCGATGCAGTTTTTTTTTTTTGAATTTTGGATAATGGGATAATTATAATTAGTCCCTGGACTTTAGAGTATTTTTAAAGATTAGTCCTTAAGCTTCAACTATAAATACTCTAACTCATTTAGCTTCAAAATCATCCCAAATCATTTCTTTCTCCCAATACTAGAGAGTTTTCTTGTAAGTAGTTAGTGTTTTGTAAACACTTGTAAATTTTCTCTCTTAGTAAAATATTTGCAGCAGTGCGGAGACGCATGCACAATTGGCTTAACTCCGTTATCAATTCCGGGTATTATTTTTTCCACTTTTATTTCGCATTCTCACTAATCTGGTTATATGGAAAATACTTGTACTCGTTTATTTCCTAACAACTGGTAATCAGAGATTTTGGTTGTGAATTTTATTAATTTTTTTACGAGGTTACTCTTCATTACTATTAATTACTATTCATGTGAATAGTGAATTTTGTGAATAGTAAAAAAAATTGTCGGCGATACGAATTTGTCGACGGAGGTGTTCTAATACACGGTGGTTCGCAAGAATTGTCAGAAACGATCCAAACAAAGCCAAATTCGAGTGGGAGCGATGGTTGCATACGAAGGGAAGATGAAAATTGAAAAGTTCGATAGTGCGGACTTTGGCTTTTGGAAGATGCAGATTGAAGATTTTATGTACCAGAAAAATCTATATCAAGCTCTCTCAGGAAAGCAACCAAAGGGCATGAAGAATGAAGATTGAGCTTTTCTCGACAGACAAGCCCTCGGAGTTATCCGACTGACGTTATCCTGCAATGTTGCTTTTAACATAGCAAAGGAAAAGACCACGGCGAGTCTTATGGCGGCTTTCTCTAGTATGTATGAGAAGCTATCGGCCTCAAACAAAGTTCATTTGATGAGGCGATTATTCAATTTGCGGATGGCGGAAGGGGCATCAGTGGCTCAACACCTAAATGAACTCAACACAATCACAACCCAGTTGAGTTCCGTGGAAATTGAATTCAATGATGAAATTCGAGCTTTAATTCTTTTATCATCTATACCAGATAGTTGGAATACTACTGTTACAGCAGTCAGCAGCTCGTCGAGAAACAGCAAATTAAAATTCGACGATGTTCGGGATCTGGTATTGAGTGAAGAAATTCGACGGAGAGAATCGAGTGAAGCATTAAGCTCCTCAGCCTTGCACACGGAGTTCGGAGGGAGAACTTTAGAAAGAAATTCAAATCGTGGCAGATCGAAATCCAGAAGGGGCAAATCAAGAACATGAAAGAAAGATTTTACCTGTTATAATTGTGGCAAGAAGGGTCACTTTAAAAGAGATTGTCGAGCACTGAAGAAAGATACCGGCGCATAAGAATCTGCCAACATGACAAAGGAGACAGATGATGCCATGATTCTAAGCGTCAACAGTCCGATTGAATCATGGATTTTGGATTCAGGGGCATCTTTCCACTCCACCCCATGCCAATAAATCACATAGAACTATGTCAGTGGTGATTTTGGGAATGTTCATCTAGTTGATGATGAAACCTTGAATATCGTCGGAAAATGAGACATCCGATTAAAGTTGTCAAAACTAGACCACTTGGACGCTGAAATGAGTGAGACATATTCCTGGCCTCAAAAGAAATTTGATTTCTGTAGGACAGCTTGATGGAGAAGGATATAGTATAACCTTTTCAGGTTGTGAATGAAAGATTACCAAAGGAGCAATCGTCATTGCTCGTGGTAAGAAGACTGATACTCTCTATGTAACCTCAAATTTAGAGAATATCATTGCAGTAACAGATGCTGATGGAAAAATCAAACCTATGGCACCAAAGGCTTGGTCATATGAACGAGAAAGGGATGAATACACTTTTGTCAAAAGAGAAGCTGTCGGATCTAAAGAATGTAGATGTCGGACTACGTGAGGATTGCATCTTTGGTAAACAAAAGAAAGTCAGTTTTGCAAAGATTGACAAGACACCCAAGGCAGAAAAGTTAGAGTTGGTTCATACTGATGTATGGGGACCATCTCCAGTTCCATCTCTTACAGGCTCACTATATTATGTCACCTTCATCGATGATTCTACAAGAAATGTGTGGGTTTATTTTTTGAAGAAGAAATTAGAAGTCTTTGATACCTTCAGAAAATGGAAGGCCATGGTGGAAAATGAGACTGGTTTGAAAGTCAAGCGGTTGAGGTCTGATAATGGAGGAGAATACAGAAATAAAATATTCAGAGATTTCTGCGTAAACAATGGGATCAAGATAGAGACAACAGTTCCCATGACACCGCAACAGAATAGTGTAGCAGAGCGCATGAACATAACTCTGAATGAACGTGCCAAAAGCATGAGGATACATGCCGGATTGCCCAAATTTCTATGGGCTGAAGCTATCAACACTGCAGCTTACCTGATCAACCGTGGGTCCTCAGTTCCCTTGGATGGTGGAATACCAGAGGAATTTTGGAGCAAGAAAGAAATAAACCTTTCACACTTAATAGTGTTTGGTTGTATTTCTTATGTACACATAAACTCTGTTGAAAGAAGTAAACTTGATGCCAAGTCCAACAAATGTGTCTTTGTTGGTTATGGTGGTGATGAGTTCGGTTACCGTTTTTTAGACTACGAAAATTGAAAGATCATCAGAAGCAAAGATGTCATTTTCAATGAGAATGTGATGTACAAAGATAGGTCAATAGAATCAAGTAGCTCAAATACCGAAGCTTAAAAAAGGAATTTGTTGAGTTCGAGGAGATTTCTGGAAATGATGTTCAGATCAGTCCTGAAGCAGTACAAGAAGAACCAGGCACACCAGAATTGAGATGCTCCTCTAGAATTCCTAAACCAACCCAGCGTTATTTGCCTTCTTTGCACTACTTGTTGCTAACTGACAATGGTGAACCAGAGTGCTATGATGAAGCAATGTAGGTGGAGGATTCAGTCAAGTGGGAGTCTTCTATGAAAGATGAGATGGACTCATTTATGTCAAATCAGACGTGGGAATTAGCTAAATTACCACCAAGAAAGAAAGCACTCCATAACAAGTGGATTTACAAGATCAAAGAAGAGCATGATGAGAGCAAACGCTACAAAGCAAGATTGGTTGTCAAAGGTTTTCAGCAAAAAGAAAGTATTGACTACAATGAAATTTTCTCTCCAGTTGTGAAGCTGTCTACAATCAGACTGGTGTTGAAAATTGTAGCAACATAGAATTTACATCTTGAGCAGTTAGATGTAAAGACAACGTTCCTTTATGGTGATTTAGAGGAAGAAATCTATATGAGGCATCCAGAAGGCTTCATAGAGGCAGGCAAGAAAAACCTGGTATGCAGGTTGAAGAAGAGCTTGTATGGTTTAAAACAAGCTCCTAGACAGTGGTACAAGAAGTTCGATAGCTTTATGAGTAGCAGTGGTTTTACCAGACGTCAAGCAGATCATTGTTGCTACATCAAAAGGTTCGACAACAACTTCATTATTTTATTATTGTACGTTGATAACATGCTCGTTGCAGGCTCATACATGCAAGAGATTATAAACTTGAAGAAAAATTTGTCGAAGCAGTTTGTAATGAAAGATCTAGGCGCTGAAAAGTAGATTACTGGGATGAGGGTTAAGAGAGACACAAATTCGGGGACTTTGATGTTATCACAGGCTGAGTACATCAACAAAGTACTCTCTAGGTTCAACATGCAAGATGCTAAACCAGTAAGTACACCTCTATGTGTTCATTTTAGACTCTCCAAAGAACAATCACCAAAGACGAAGGAAGAACGTACACACATGGTGAAGGTGTTGTATGCCTCAGCAATTGGAAGTCTGATGTATGTCATGGTTTGTACTAGACCAGATATTGCTCATACAGTGGGAGCTGTTAGCATGTACATGAATAATCCAGGCAAGGTACACTAGAAGCAGTCAAATGGATCCTCAGATATTTGTGAAGTACCACAAATAAATCACTTTGTTTCAAAGGTGGAGATACGATACTGACAGGCTATGTAGATGCTGACTTAGTCGGAAATGTTGACATCAGAAGGAGCACTACAGGGTATGTCTATACTCTAGGAGAAACCGCAGTGAGTTGGGTTTCTCAACTACAGAAGATAGTTGCTCTCTCCACAACTGAAGCAGAATATGTCGCTGTTACGGAAGCCAACAAGGAGATGGTCTGGCTCCAAAGTTTCTTGGAAGATTTAGGCAAGAAACAAGAAAACAATGTCTTGTATTGCGACACTCAAAGTGCTATCCATCTAGCAAAGAATCCGTCTTTTCATTCCAGGACGAAGCACATACAATTGCGATATCATTTTATCCGATATCTTCTGTAAGATGGGATTTTGAAACTTGAAAAGATTAGTGGAGCTCAAAATCCGGCAGATATGTTAACAAAGACGGTGACTACGAACAAACTGAAGTTGTTTTCAGCTTCTATTGGCATGCTAGACTAACAAGACCATAAATGTTGTTGCATTGATCGAGGTGTGAAGACAGATTAAAATCAGTCTTCAAGTGGGAGATTGTTGAAAAGTCAAGCACCACATGGGCGGCTGGCAAGGGTTAGGCAGAACAAATTGTTGAAAAATGCATTGGAATGGTAGGCACCGAATTTCGGTGCAGTTTTTTTTTTTTTGAATTTTGGGTAATGGGATAATTATAATTAGTCCTTGGACTTTAGGGTATTTTCAAAGATTAGTCTCTAAGCTTCAACTATAAATACCCTAACCCATTTAGCTTTAAAATAATTCCAAATCATTTCTTTCTCCCAATACTAAAGAGCTTTCTTGTGAGTAATGAGTGTTTTGTAAATACCTGTAAATTTTCTCTCTTAGTAAAAGATCTGCAGCAGTCCGGAGACGTAGGCACAATTGACTGAACTCTGTTATCAATTTCGAGTATTATTTTTCCGCTTTTATTTCGCATTCTCACTAATCTGGTTATAGGGAAATTACTTGTACTCATTTATTTCTCAACAACATGCATCTTTATATTAAATACAACACTATATAAGATCAATATTCTTAATCTTTACTTGATAGCAGCCTTGACATCCTCGTAAGAAGCCTTCTTCTCAAGCCTCACAGTGAGGTCAACCACTGAGACATCAACAGTGGGAACACGGAAAGCCATTCCAGTCAGCTTACCATTCAATGCTGGCAACACTTTGCCAACAGCCTATGTCGTTACAAGATGATAATCGACCAGTAAACTTTATTTCCAATAATCATTTAACAACAATATATAGCATGCTAGTCATAACCAGCTAAGGGGCTAAAATACAGGTTTTAACGTCTGAAACTAATCACAAGTTAATTGGGCCCTGAGGTTGGATTTTCTCAGAAATAATTACATTTTCAATAAAAAAATATAAAATTTATAAATCATGGTAGAATTACAAGCCCTGCCAAAAAAACAAAACAAAAATATCATACAACTTAACCAGAAAGTGCAAAAATGGATACATCCTTGGCAGCTCCAGTGCTGCTGGGAATGATATTGAAGGAAGCAGCTCTACCACCTCTCCAGTCCTTCATTGATGGACCATCAACAGTCTTCTGGGTAGCTGAATAAAAATGACAGTCAGTCAACAATACACTAATTTGATGCAAAAAACACAATAGAACACAAAGTACTTACCAGTGATCGAGTGTACAGTAGTCATGAGACCCTCAACAATACCGAATTTGTCATGAATAACCTAATCGCCCTTTCCGATATATAGATGCTTGGAATGACCATCCTCAATTTCAAGATTTCCTAAGGACTGTGTGGCATGAGGACTAGGATTTCAGTACGAATGTGAGTGGCTTTACTTTTGAAGCACAAGCTTGGAACACCAATATTTTTTGTCACATTGGTAAAAGTAAAAAGATTATTATTAGCTCGCATTTAGGGAATTGAAAGGGCGTTGAGGAATGGCCACTTTGATTTCCTCTACGACCTTGACGTTCAACTTCGTGCAGAATTATAAATGGTGCTCGAACAAGAAGAGAGTTTCTGGAGACAGAAAGCATCTTCGAATTGAGTTGTCCATGGAGATCGTAATACTAAGTATTATCATGCATCTGTCATGGCGAAACATCGACAAAGTAAGATCACTGCTCTCAAAAGACGAAAATGGTTTATGGTGTACTCATGAAGAGGACTTACATCTTTTGGTTGTGTCCTTTAGTCGATTACTTCAAAGTGAGGGAAGGGAGGTTGAGTACATGAAGAGACTATTTCCACATGTATCGCAATCTTAGTTGGCTACATTAGACCGGCCTCTCACCGATGATAAAGTTATGACTGTTTTTTTTAGTATGGCACCACTTAAATCTCCCGAGATAGATGGTATTCATGTAGCGTTCTACCATAAAAATTTTGCAGGTAGTAAACAGTGTGGTATGTTAATATATCAGTGGAATTTTTGAGAGAGATCAATGGCGTACTGATCTTAATCAAACCTTACTTATTTTACTGCCAAAGGTTCAATTCCCAGAAATGATTAGTAGATTTCGACCAATAAGCCTTTGTAATGTGGTTTATAAAGCCGTAACAAAACTGATTGTGTACCATCTAAAGCCTTTGTTATCACGGTGGGTTTCAGATAATTAAACCAGTTTTTTGTCAGGTCAATCAATTGTAGATAACATCATCATCACTTAGGAAGTTATCCACTCAATGAAATAAAAGGTAGGGCGAAAGAGTTAGATGATAATCAAAATAGATTTGGAGAAGGCCTATGATCGCTTGGAGTAGGCGTAATTGAAGCACTTTGACTGATTTGGGTATTCTGGAGATGTTATTGAGACTTATTATGCGATTTGTATCTTTCATTTGTACTCATATTCTTTGGAATGGATCTATGACATCCTCTTTTACGCCCTCACGCAGATTACAGCAAGGTGACCCCTATCGCCTTATTTATTTGTTCTCTGTATAGAATGTTTGGCATAAGCAATCCAGATTGAAGTTGATCGGGGGAATTGGAAACCTTTCAAAACTTATAATCCAGGACCCGGTATATCGCATTTGTTTCTTGCTGATGATATGCTTCTTTTTACGGAAGCATCGTCTGAGCAAAAGATCATTCTCTCAATTTCGACAAAATTTTGCATTACCTCAGGACAAAAAGTGAGTGTCTCGAAAACCGCCATATTCTTTTCTAAGAACATTCCTTCTGAAAAACGGGTAGAGATCAGTGCTAGTTTCAGCTATAGAATGGTATCTGATATGGGCCAGTACTTGGAAGTTCCTTTGTTGCATGACTGTGTTACAGCCGCATTTTATCAATATTTAATTCAGATGGTTCGTGAGAGATTAAATGGATGGAAAATGCGATCTCTGTCGCTCGCGAGGCGGGTCACGCTTGCGAAATTAGTCCTCGCATATTTAACTGTTTATACAATACAGTTGGCGGTGCTTCCAATACGCGTATGTAACGATATCGAGAGATTAATTTGGGGTATTGATGATGGTAGGAGAGGCGTTCATCTTGTTAATTGGAAGGATGTTTGTCGTCCGATTAACCATGGTGGTCTTGGTTTTCAGAATCTTGAACAACGAAATAATGCATTTATAATGAAGATTGCTTTTAACATTTTAACCAAGAAAGACCAACTATGGGTAAAATTTCTTTGGTCCAAATACAAATGTAACGAGGACATTCCAGAGGTATTCTAAAGCTCTAATTGTTCTACCTGTTGGTTTTTGGCAAAGTCCCACATTGGTTGTGTATAAGGAGGAGGGGAAATTCTTTTGTTATAAATAAAACCATCCTCCTCTTTAGTTAATCATCCCACAAATATAAGCCTTCTTCTATATTAAAGGCTATTTGTATTCTTTCTCTCTTTGTAATATTTCATCTATTAGTGAAATATTTTGGTGTTCTCTTTTATATCTATTTAATAGCTATTGTCGGGTATAGTTGTTGTTAATTATTGTCCTATTAAAATTACTTGTCTTGGTAGTTCTGTCTAAGGAAAGTAGGTTTTAAGAGGGACCATTGTGACCCCTCCTCTTTCCTGGGAATATACCTTGGGGTGATTTTTAGTACAATCGTTTTCACACTAGTCACCTAGATAATAGTTTTGAAGGTGAATCTGTTATTGGTGGAAATTAACCCGAATTCCACAACAATTGGTATCAGAGCTCTTGGTTTATTTTAGTATGCTATGTGGTTGTGGCTTAGGATGATCTTCTACATCAGAAAAAATTTCCTTGGGATAATTGACATTCTGCATTGGCAGCTATTAAATAGAATTTGTAGCAGAAATCACAGACGCTTCTTCATCTTTAATTTTGGCAAGAAATGATGTGACAAATGTTAGAATTGCAGTGAAGATTTTTTATGGCACCGGTCATTTCGGCATGTGGCAAAGTGAGGTTCTAGATGCCCTATTTCAGCAGGGTCTAGACATTGCTATTGGAGGAGAAAAACCAGATGATGTTGAGGAGAAAGAATGGAAGAGGATCAATAGAATGGCATGTGGTACTATTTGATCGTGTCTTTCTAGAGAGCAGAAGTATGCATTTTCTAAGGAAACTTCTGCAAGTAAATTGTGGAAGGCACTGGAGGAGAAATTTTTGAAGAAAAGCGGTCAGAACAAACTCTACATGAAAAAGAGATTGTTCCGCTTTAACTATATACCAGGTACCACTATGAATGATCACATTACTAGCTTTAATCAGCTGGTGACTGATATGATGAATATGGACGTGACTTTTGAAGATGAAGATCTGGCTCTGATGTTGATGGGATCACTTTCTGATGAGTTTAAGCATCTTGAAACTACTCTACTTCATGGGAAGATTGATGTGTCTCTCAGTGAAGTAACTGCTGCCTTGTATAGTTATGAATTGAGAAAGAAAGACAAACAAGAAAACACAAGTGTCGAAGTAGAAGCTCTTGTTGTTAGAGGCCGTTCGAAGAGTCAGAATAAAGGAATCAGAGGGAGATCGAAGTCAAAGTCTAGATTGAGCAAAGATGAATGTGCCTTTTGTCGAGAAAAAGGGCACTGGAAGAAAGAATGTCCCAGGCTAAAGAATAAAGGCAAACCTGAAAGGGGGAAGGCTGTCTCAGAATCAAATGTGGTCGAGTATGATGATTCAGATTCAGATTTCGCATTCGCTGTTATGCCATCAACCAACTGTTCCAGTTCATGGCTGTTAGATTCAGCTTGTAGCCACCATATGACCCCCAATAGAGAATGGTTCTTTGATTTTAAAGAACTAAAAGGTGGAATTATCTACACAGCAAATAATTCCCCTCTTGAAACACTTGAGATTGGTTCAATTCGCTTGAGGAATCAGGATGGATCAATCAGAACCTTAACAGGTGTCCATTATGTACCAGATTTAATGAGAAATCTCATCTCTGTGGGAACCTTAGAGTCAAAAGGTTTAGAAGTGAGGGCAAAAGATGGGATTATGAGGATTATCTCTGGTGCACTGGTGATAATGAAGGGAATCCGAAAAAGAAACAATGTGTATTACTTTCTGGGTAGTACAATTGTTGGGACAGCAGCAGTGGCAACTTCTACTGATGAACATGACTCAGAAGCAACCAGGTTATGGCATATGCGCTTGGGGCATGTTGGTGAAAAATACTTGAAATTACTCATAGATCAAGGATTATTGAAGGGTGCTCGGACTTGCAAATTAGCTTTTTGTGAGCATTGCATCAAAGGGAAGAAGACGAGGGTGAAATTTGGAACAGCAATCCATGATACTAAAGGTATTTTGGATTATGTTCATTCAGATGTATGGGGGTCTTCCAATACAACTTTATTTGGAAGAACACACTATTATGTCACCTTTGTTGATGATTTTTCCCGGAGAGTTTGGGTGTATCCAATGAAGACAAAGGATGAGGTGCTAGGATTTTTCCTTAAATGGAAAAAAGATGATAGAGACTCAAACAGGCAGAAAAATCAAACGTCTCCGTACAGACAATGGTGGAGAGTACAAAAATGATCCATTTCTGAAAGTCTGTGAAGAGGAAGGTATTGTCAGGCACTTCACTGTCATAGGTACACCACAACAGAATGGGGTGGCAGAGCGTATGAACCGGACATTAGTGGAGAAGGTTCGGTGTATGTTGTCTAATGCTGGGTTAGGCAAAGAATTTTGGGCTGAGGCTTTGGTCTATGCTTGTCACCTTGTCAATCGCTTACCATCGACTGCTATTGGTGGTAAAACACCATTAGAGAAATGGCTTGGAGTACCTGCTATAGATTATGATTCCTTACATGTGTTTGGTTCCACTGCATACTACCATGTTAAGGAGTCAAAGCTGGATCCAAGAGCAAAGAAGGCGATCTTTATGGGGATCACCTCTGGTGTGAAAGGCTATCGTCTTTGGTGTCCAGAAACAAAGAAAATAATCTTCAACAGGGATGTTACCTTTGATGAATCTACCGTGTTGAGAAAGGTGACTTCAGAAAAATTAGACCAGACAGATGGAACTCCCAAAGGAGTTTGAAGGAAGCAAGATTGTCCCAACCAATAAAGAAACTGATGTTGACTCTCCTATGGTAAAAGAAGAGTCAGATGAAGAAGAGGTTCAGACCCAAGAACCTCCACAGCAACATGAATCAATTGCACTCAGAAAGGGAAAGAGGACCATTAGACAACCTGCTCGTTATGCTGATATGGTCTCTTTTGCATCACCAATTGCAATTGATGACGTTCCTGCCACTTTTAATGAAGCAGTTCAAAGTTCAGAACATAAAAAGTGGAGGATCGCCATGAATAAAGAAATGTAATCCCTTCAAAAGAATCAGACGTGGAAACTAGCTAGTCTTCAGAAGGGAAAGAATGTAATTGGGTGCAAGTGGGTATATGCAAAGAAAGATGGATTTCCTGACAAGAATAATATCCGCTACAAAGCAAGATTGGTGGCTAAAGGCTACGCTCAAATGGAGGGAGTTGATTATAATGAAGTATTTTCTCCAGTTGTAAAACATTCCTCCATCAGAATTTTGTTAGCTTTGGTAGCACAGTTGGATTTGGAACTAGTTCAGATGGATGTAAAAACTGCATTTTTACATGGAGACTTGGATGAGGAAATCTACATGACTCAGCCAGATGGATTCAAAGTTGCCGAAAAAGAAGAGATGGTGTGCAAATTAGAAAAATCGTTGTACGGATTGAAGCAATCTCCAAGGTAGTGGTACAAGCGATGTGACAAGTTTATGATAGGGCAGAAGTACACAAGAAGCAAATATGATCATTGTGTGTATTTACGCGAGCTAGAAGACGGATCCTATATATATCCTCTTCTTTATATTGATGATATGTTGATAGCTTCCAGGAGTCAGATAGAAATTGCGAAACTAAAGACTCAATTGAACAGGGAGTTTGAGATGAAGGATCTTGGTGAAGAGAAGATTCTAGGCATGGAGATATCAAGGGATAAGAAATTGGGGAGGCTTTGTTTGTCTCAGAAAGAATATCTGAGGAAGGTACTAAAACGTTTTGGCATAAATGAGATGTCAAAACCAGTTAGTACACCTCTTGCTCCTCATTTCAAGCTCGGTGCATCAATGTCACCTAAGGATGATGCAGAACGGGAATACATGTCAAAGGTTCCGTATGCAAGTGTTGTTGGTAGCTTGATGTATGCAATGGTGTGTACGAGACCTGATATTTCACAGGCAGTTGGGGTTGTGAGCAGGTATATGCATGATCCTGGAAAGGAGCATTGGCAAGCTGTGAAATGGATTCTGCGGTATATTTTGAACACCGTAGATGTTGGTTTGGTCTTTCAGCAGGACAAACAAGACGGTCAGTGTGTAGTTGGGTATTGTGATTCAGACTATGCAGGTGATTTGGACAAGCGTCGATCAACTATTGGTTATGTGTTTACATTTGCAAAGGCACCAGTCAGTTGGAAGTCCACCTTACAGTCAACAGTGGCTTTGTCTACTACAGAGGCAGAGTATATGGCAGTTACAGAGGCTGTGAAGGAGGCAATTTGGCTTCAAGGGTTGCTTGGTGAATTGGGAATGGAACAAAAGCACATCAAAGTGCACTGTAACAGTCAGAGTGTTATTCATTTAGCAAAGAACCAGGTTTACCATGCAAGGACGAAGCACATCGATGTTCGATATCACTTTGTACGAGAGATTCTAGAAGAAGGTGGAGTCATAATCCAGAAGATTCAGACCACTAAGAATCCTGCTGATATGTTGACAAAAGTGGTAATTGCGGTCAAGTTTAAACATTGTTTAGACTTGGTCAATATTGTTACAAATTAAAAGATTGTTTTTTAGAGATGTGTGTGGAATTTGCCAAGGTGGAGATTTGTTGGTTTTTGGCAAAGTCCCACATTGGTTGTGTATAAGGAGGAGGGGAAATTCTTTTGTTATAAATAAAGCCATCCTCCTCCTTAGTTAATCATCTCACAAATATAAGCATTCTTCTATATTAAATGTTATTTGTATTCTTTCTCTCTTTGTAATATTTCCTCTATTAGTGAAATATTTTGGTGTTCTCTTTTATCTCTATTTAATAGTTATTGTCGGGTATAGTTATTGTTAATTATTGTCCTATTAAAATTATTTGTCTTGGTAGTTCTGTCTAAGGAAAGTGGGTTTTAAGAGGGACCATTGTGACCCCTCCTCTTTCCTGGGAATATACCTTGGGGTGATTTTTAGTACAATCGTTTTCACACTAGTCACATAGATAATAGTTTCGAAGGTGAATCTGTTATTGGTGGAAATTAACCCGAATTCCACAACACTACCTTGTGGAGGAGTTTGGCGTGCATTTGGGATGATATTCGAAGCAATATTAACTGGTGCATTTGGAATGGCCAATATGTTGATTTTTGGTTCGATTCTTGGCTGGACGATTGTGGACCTCTAATTAATCACGTTGTGTCCGCTGGAGCGGTTGGTATGCATAAGATTTCTGTAGCGGATATGACCAAAGAGGATGGAAACTGGCAATGGCCACTTTTCGAGCAATTTCTTCTGTTGAATATATTGCTGAAAATTGCAACAAAGAAATGTCCAGCGCAATTGTTTGGAATGGATGTGGGTTGGAGCTTGTGTGATGATCGTCGGTTCACGGTTAAGTCTGCGTATGATTTTTGCGTTGGTTATCCCACTAATTCAAGGGAGGAGGTTTGGGCAATGATCAATATATATCGTGGTCTGTCTAAAATTAAAATGTTATTGTGGATAATTGGTAATGATCGTTTGTTGACAACTGCTGAACGTCTGAGGTGTCATCTTACCACCAATAGTAGCTGCCTGCTTTGCGCAGCCCCTGAGGAAGACATTTATCATTTGTTGAGTCTGTCCATTTGCACTTTCCATATAGGTGGCGTTGGTGAAACCAGAGAAGCTACAAGCTTTTATATCTATGGACTTGAAAGCTTGGATAACTATGAATCACAACAATTCCAAAGATTTTGTAAGCCACGTTGAAAATTGGCATCTCTTATTTGGTTACATAGTGTGGAATATGTGGCTATATTGCAACTCGGTTGTGTTTGATTCACCAGTTGAAGATGCTCTATCGATTATAGAACAGAGTAAAAGCTTAATGGAGATCACGATCCAAGCTTCTACAATCAGATTACAGCAGACTGGTCAGAAATCACGAGGTCCAGCTCGTGTGAATGTATGGAAGCGTCCTCCATCCGGTTGGTTAAAGATGAATTCAGATGGTGCCAGACATAAGGAACCAGGTCTAACTTTACGTGGTGGAGATCCTGATGGTAAATGAAAAATAGGAATTACCAATTTTATAGGAATATGTTCTGTCTTGGAAGTTGAAAATGGACATTGCAAGGTAACACTTGTGAGTCACGTAACAGAGTTATTGAAATAAGATTGGGTGGTTCAGTTTCATCACGTGTCTCGACAAGGAAATAAGACTGCAGATTACTTGGCAAAGTTGGCCGTAAAGAATGACTTTGAGTGTGTGAAGCGGATGGTCCCCCAGGAATGACGTCATCGTTGCTGCATGAAGATCAAGCACTTCCGGTAGTAGCCTAATAGCATTCTTCATTGTTTATAAAAAAAATTATTTTAAATTAGTATAAATTATATATGTGGTCCTTTTTTTTTTCAATCTATTTTGTTTTAGATCATTGATTTAGAAAATAATAAAGATTTGGTCATTTACATCATTAGTCGTTCTTATTTTAGTCCCTGGATAATTAACTCTCATTAATTCGAGAAAATGACATTAAAAAGTAATAATAATTTAAAATTTATCTCTAAACTTAAAAAAAAAATCTTCACCTCCAATTTGGTTGCTCAACATCCACGAGAACCCTTGGCTGCTTAATGGTAGAACAATACCTAAGAGTGGAAAAGATCACCTATTTTCTGGAGAAGATTTCTACATCCTACCATAATCAACCAACTTATCATTGATACTTGTTTTTACTTTTGATAATTTGAACACACACTCAAAGATGCCAATGAGAACTTGCACATTCATATGTTGCAATTTACAAGAATACCATTTCAAGGTAGATTCTTGTGACAATGACAAATCGCCGCATACCAAGTTTATGCAAAGAATTTGTGTTTGGTATGCTTAAGCAAATGTGTATATACGTCAGAAACTTCCAAAAAAAATGTTTACATCAGAAACTTCAATTTTTTTCTCAAAATATAACTCGCTTTGTCTCTGTCATTGGGGAGCAAGAATCTTTTTAGTGATTAAAATGAAAGAGATTGATAATATAGGTGATCAATTTATTATCTTTTTTAAATTGATAATTAAAATAAAAAAAAGACGAAACACAAAATCTACCATTAGTTTAAGAATATAAATCTTACTCGAAAGTATTTCAATAAAATGTTCCTGCTCTTGCATTTAAGATTTTTAAAAATATTTTATTTTAATTTGTCATTAAAACTTTCACTTGTACTGTATTTAATTGACAAAAAAACATTAGTTTAACATTAATAAAATTGGTTTGGTTGTTGAATGTAAATGTAAGACGCCATAATCATCCAACAACGGAGTTCCTTGTATGAATAAAACTCCCAAGGATTTAAAAACCCTAATTACCCAAATCTCCCGTGGAATTCAATCTTAATTCACCATCTTCCACCAGAGCCATGAATTTACCTTTACTTTAAACCCCCCCAAAGAACAAAACAGAACCTTACTCTGAAGCTAAAAGAAAGAACTAAAATAAAGGCTTCATCTTTATTTCTGGTATCTGCAAAGTGCAAACCCATCAAGAAAATCCCAGAAAATAAAAAGCCCAGACTTGTTTCGAGCAAGAAAATCGTAAAAGGAATTTTCTTTTCTTAGTTTTTGGGTAAGAAAAGAAAATCTTAGGGGAAATGCCAGGCGTAGCTTTGAAATTATACAGTGTATTCTTCAAGTTCGTCTTCAAACACCGTCTGCAAAACCTCATCCAATCCTCTATCGATGAATCTTCCAGTTCGTACGGTGTAGCGACCCGACCCGAGGAATCCATTTCCGCCTCCAACCCTTCGTTCACTGATGGTGTCGCCACTAAAGACATCCACATCGATCCATTCACTGCCGTTTCAATTCGGATCTTCCTCCCTGATTCCTCCCTTTCCCCTCCCGAACAACCCGATTCAAAACCCAAGCCCAGATCGTCCCAAGAAAATGACCCGAATTCCCATAATCACCGCCGGAGTAGTTATGGTCCGTCGAATATGAACCCCCCGAGAAATGATTCGAGAAGAAGCAGTCTAGAGGGGTTGAATTTAAGATCCGACAATATTGCTTATAGAGGATATTCACCGTTACCTCAAAATTGTCGAAAATTACCAATAATGTTGCAATTTCACGGCGGCGGTTGGGTGAGTGGGAGCAATGATTCAGTTGCTAATGATTATTTTTGTCGAAGGATAGCGAAATTGTGTGATGTTATAGTCGTCGCAGTCGGTTACAGGTTGGCACCGGAGAATAGGTATCCGGCTGCATTTGAGGATGGGTTGAAGGTGTTGAACTGGTTAGCAAAGCAAGCCAATTTAGCCGAGTGTAGTAAGTCGTTGGGGAACGGGGCGCGTGGGGCTGGATCAGAGTTCACCAATGCTGAATTTCAAAGACATTTTGTGGATGCTTTTGGGGCTTCAATGGTTGAGCCGTGGTTGGCCGCTCATGGAGATCCATCTAGGTTGTTATTCCTATATGAAGTTTTGAGCTTGATTGCATTTAGTTTTGTTGCTGAAATTATTAGATTTAAAACAATTAGTTAACTGTAATTCGATCCTGGCCATGAATGCAATGCTGCAATCTTCTATTGTGTCTGTTGTTTTTGTTAGATTTGCTTCCGTTGATGTGCATCGTTTGTTGTTGATTTTGTTAAGAACAGGGGCTTGGTGCAATTAGATCAGGAATTTTGACTTTATAAGCTTAAAGATGTTTGTTGTTAGTAGATGCAATGCAGGATTATTGGCTAATGGCTGTAGATTTGATGTGTTTTATTTAGTTGAGATGGCTTAGGATTAGGAAGTGGGTTTTGATTTTGGAATTGAGACTTATAACATATAAGCTTCAATTTTTGTGTAATTTGAATACTTTTGAATATGAGCCGTTGGAAAGTAAATACGGTTAAGATATCTTTGATCATGCTCTCATCTGAATTGTTTAACTGGGTAACAAGTCTTTAAAATCCATAGTCTCTCATTTTGTGTTCTACTATATGGACTCAATCTCAGAACCTGAGATTTTAAGACAACTTTCTGTGGCTGGGCTTTCATTTTTGTTTGTGCACAACGACCTTCTGTTTGTTGAACACAATTCAATAGTTTGGTTTCGTTTGCATTTTTCATAATCTCATGTTTTTCTCTTAATATTGATTACATTTTGTTGATGGTTGCCCTTGGTTTTAGCTTGTGGTACCTATTTATAGTTTTGATTTGGGTTTGTGGCATGGAAGTTCTTTATTGACATCTTAATTGGTCAAAAAGTATGCATCCGTCTTTTTTTATTCTATTTGAGAATTAACAAATGTTTTTATTTTCCCCAGGCCTATTTCATTGCTGTATTTAGATTTTATATTTGAGTGGTTTAACCGATGCATCAGAAAGAGAATAATATAAGAATCTACTATTATATTTTTTTCGAGTTATATCTTCCATTTGTTTAGGTGACCTTTATTACTAGGTATGGCGTCTACTAGGCTTTCATGTTATCCTCTCGTGCCATTCATGCAATAGCACGTAGATTCTTATTTACATTTGTCATGTAGTGTCGGTACAATTCATATGTTATGATCAAAGGCCTTTTAGACTGCATGTAGCTAGAGTTTTACTGTTTTAGTAGGCATTTAATGTCCAGTTGACAATTGATTGTATCATGTTCATTGTTGTCTTAAGTACGGTCATCAATCTTCTGGACTATAATCTCCGGTATTAGTCGAGTATACAGTTATCATGTGTAGCAAAAGGCGTGCAAAAGATAGAGTCAACCTGGAAATCAAACTCGAATGAGGTAGAATTCTGGTCAGGGAAGAATCTGTCTGAATAAGTCCCAAGTTTGATCTCACGCCTGACATTTGGGTGGAATTAAATGTTGGCAAATCATGATTAATTGTTATTCTGTAAAATTGGTGGTTCTTAGTACTTTACTCTTTATATACGTATGTATATATATATATATTCTTCTGTTTTGCCTAATGATTTATTGTGATATCCTTTAAAACAGATGTGTTCTACTTGGAGTGAGTTGTGGAGCAAATATTGCAGATTATGTGGCTCGCAAAGCTGTGGAGGCAGGCAAGCGTCTGGCTCCTGTCAAGGTTGTAGCACAGGTTCTAATGTACCCATTCTTCATCGGGAACGTCCCCACACACTCTGAAATAAAGCTGGCAAACTCGTACTTTTATGACAAGGCTATGTGCCTACTTGCATGGAAACTCTTTCTTCCCAAGGAAGAGTTCAGCTTGGACCACCCGGCCGCTAATCCACTGATTCCAGACAGGGGCCCACCTCTGAAACTTATGCCCCCAACACTAACCGTTGTAGCAGAGCATGACTGGATGAGAGACCGGGCGATTGCTTACTCGGAGGCCCTTCGGAAGGTAAACGTAGATGCACCTGTTCTTGAGTATAAGGATGCAGTTCATGAATTTGCAACCCTTGACATGCTTCTAAAGACACCTCAGGCCGAGGCCTGTGCCGAGGACATTGCCATCTGGGCTAAGAAATACATCTCATTGCGAGGTCACGAGTTCTCATATTAAAATGTAGAAAAGAAAAGAAAATGTATGAGGCGGATCATCATCCAACGACATCCTTCTCTATTTATTCGGTTTTGAAAAAGAGAACGATACAAGGATTTTGTGCCGGAGGATTTGGACAATGTATTGCTTTTGTTCATTGTTGGTAACGTGATCATCGGGTTTGCTCGTCAGCTTCCAGGTTTACCCTTATGCCCTGTTCTGTTCCTTTTTGTAAGATAAAAACCTGTCTGATGGTAGATAATAAGTGAGTTGAGATTACTTTCTTTTCATTGAGATGTCAATTACATTTTTTGTTTCATGTGAATTAAAATGTACTATTTGTAGCGACTAGCGAATATAGTTTGATTTATTTGATATAACACACTTGTATTTACAGTGTAGCCGAGAATCTCATCCTTTGTCTACCTCAAATTACCTGTTCCATAGAAGGATGTGGGGAAACTACTGGGATATCATACGATAAAAATGTCCGAATTATGCAGATAATATTTAATCTCTAATTTATTGTTGAATAAAAAGTAAAAATATTCAAATTCTC